TAATAATAATAAAAAAAAAACAGAATAAAGGACTGGAACAATAATAAGTGATGAATGCCGAAAATGACCATTTTATATACAAAACTTGATTATACAAATATATTACACTAAACATACAGTACATGTAAGTCACAAATTGTCCCACATAGCAAAACTTAAGCACAGATAAAAAGGGGACAAATAAAAAGAATGTTTTACTTCCAAGAGATAGACAGTACAGCCCTGTTTAGTTCCCTTTTTAGAACACATTGGACTTAAGATTACACATCTGGAAAGCTAAGCAGTTAGCTACTACTCTATACAACTGACTGTAATGTGCCATCAAGGGCACCTTGGGACATATTCTTATCAAAAGAGATAATTTCCTTCTTTATCTATAACTAAGTCTATAGGTAAACATTTGTTGCATTTATACTTTAGTCTAAAGGTAAACATTGGTCATTCATGCCTAAATTTGGAATCATATGATGCAGTTGGTGTATTCTAGGTTGTGGTGTCAGGGCACAAGCTGTGAGGAGCGTTTAGTAATCCTTACTATTCACATAGAATTTGTAAAATTTTTCCTAATGAAATTAGATGTGAGTTTTATGTTACATCAATTTTCCAAGTGGAAGGTTCTGCCTAGATTTTATCTACCAATGCTTGAACCCCATCTCTAGCAACATTGCAAAATTTGCAACTATGAAGCGAGGCTTTTATTTTCAGCTAGGTGTCAACAAACTTATTTCTTCCCATGAAAACAACTCAAATCAGTTTTAGATTTTTTTCTTGCTGCTTGAATACCATTTAAAAAAAAAATGGAAAACTGAATTTTTATTTTGGTTGGTTGATTGGTTGTTTTATGGCATATCAAAATCTCAGTGGGTCATTTAATGCCAACAAAATTTTTGAATTCATAGCAATAGTTTGGTAAAAAAGGTGTGTATGTCGGTAATATTTTGTTTTGTCAAAAATCCATTTCTGTTAATATTTTTTTCCTCAAAAATGTATAGCTGGTAATATTATTTTCAAAAATGTATTGCTGGTAATATTTTTTTTTTCTCGAAAACGTATTGTTGCTAATATTTTTTCTTTTTTAAAAATGTATTGCTGGTAATACTTTTTTTTCTTCAAAAACGTATTGCTGGTAATATTCTTTCCCAAAAATATATTGCTGGTAATAGTTTTTTTTTTCCTCTTCAAAACCCATTTTTACACTTTCATAATGCTTTTCACCATTTTTGCATTCTGAGTTCCATTCTCCATTTTTTTTTTTAAAAGAATGTATAGTCGTTTGTATGAGTGGTATTTATTTTTTTAATTTTTTTTAAGTATTGCTGATAATAAGTTTTCCTTCAAAAATCATTGCTGGTAATAATTTTTTTTTATTACAAAGTATTTCTGGTGTATTAAAACCTATTTTTACACAAGTTTGGGTGTTAGCTATTTGCCCATAGCTGGGACCTTAACAGGTGCTACCACCCTGGGTCAGGGTGGACCTGGGAACACCAGCAATTAAGAGGTGGTTCCATACTCCTCAAAACCTCCTGATCAGATGCCTTGCTGCTGGATGTAGTTTATCGTCTTACCCAGGACAGGAATTTTCATTTTAAATTTATTCAAATATATTTCTGTTGATGGAAGTGAAAATAGAGGTGATAGTTTTCTAAAGTAAATGAGGTGGATAAAAAAAAACCCCAAAATACTGACAGTGTTCATAGTAAGGAACAAACTATAGTGTTTATTGAACTAGTTAATGTGTGTGGGCTTGGATGCATTGCATACAAGTGCTTTTCTTGATTGTCACACAGTTTTAACAAGACAATACAAATTTACCTCATATTAGCAGGCTTTGTTCTTTTTGGGTTTTTTTCGCACTTCTTAACTAATTGAAGGTGTGTGTCAACTCTGCATTGAAGAAGTCAATTAGCACCATTTTGCAAAACACATTTGCTTACTTCGTGGCACCGTGTTATTTTTTGGTAGCAATTATAAATTTTTTAATTAACGTATATACATAGAGTTTCTTTTTGCAGAACTAATGCTAGCTTACACATAACACACTACCTTATAATGAAAATAAATATGGCATATGCACTGGGAAGCAAAACAAAATTTCAACAACTTGCTTTATGGCGATGACTTGGAACCAAATTTTCAATATGTCTGCAGTGTGTTGATACTTTGAAAAGCTTTATTATAGTACTTCAACGTTCAACTAATAAGAGTTGTACTTATTAATTTTGAATCAGCTTTCATCTTTGTTGCTAGTAGTAACAAATGTAATAGTATTAAAGTCATCAGAATTTCTGAGATGAATCGCTGTTGTTATCATTTAACTGCATTTCTTTCATCTTATTTCTGTTGGTTTTGATTTTAAATCTCAGATTATTATTTTATACAATAGATATAGTGGCTTACAGCCATATCAGATTGAAACACCAGTTCCCATATGATTATTACAGTTAAGCAATATTGAGCCTAGATGGGTGACCTCTTGGAAATACCAGGTGCTGTAAGCTTGGATGTGCAGGTGGTATAATGGATAATATCATGGAATTCTTAATCGGAGAGCCGAGTTCTAATTTTAGTTGGGTTTGTTATATTCACTGATGTGCAAATACCCTTGGGAAAGGTATGAACTCACCTCTTCTACCTCCCAGCTATGGATTAATTAGTAAGATTTCTATCACTAAATTTTTATTATCTCAAAAAAAAAATAAATAAATAAATAAGTAAAAAAAATAAAATTCTTACAATCTAAAAATATTTTCTGGCTTTAAATAACCTGCAAAGGGTTGATAAGCCATAAAAAAAGAATCAATCAATCAATTGTGGATATATGAAGATATGGAATGTGAGTTCAAACATCATCCAGGTCAAGCCAATGACTTCTGACTTAAAAGGTTTGCTTTGGCCATGGACCTGTAGCTGTTGACAGTCTAGGACACCCTCTGCCCAGTGATACTGTGTCATCAACACACTGTCAGTAAACATAACTACAAAGTCCAGTCTACCCCATTGTGTTTGATGGCTGTTGATCTCTATCAGATGGTTCCTCCAACCTTGTTTTTTTTTTTTTTTCAATCCTGCTGTAGGTCTAACCACACTCATCACCAGGATTTTCTGGTGTGGGGACCAGTTTAGTTATTTAGAACTTAATCATGCAGGTTTTCCTTACATTGCAAAACAAACACCATGGACTGGAAGTATTTTCACTCAACATTTTGTCAGGTGAAAATCTTCACTTTTCTCCATTACTTTATATCTGATTTTACAGCAAATATCTTCTTTGCCTATTCAATTTTTATGTTGAGTATGAAGGATGGCAAATTTTCAAAGAACCTATTTTGCTGAAAACTTTTAGCTTTCCAACTGGAATTTTAAATCTAATATTTTATGGCTGCTACAGCTTTTGGCTGTAATCATCTTAAGATGACCACATTCCTCAGATGAAGCATTTTCAAACTATTAGAGTAAAGCAAATGTATCTTCATTTTTTTTTTTTTTTTTTTAATATATATACATCTTTATTTTCAAAGCTTGCCATCCTGGGTATCATGAGGAGATTGGAGGTTTTGAGTGGGTGTGGAACCACCTCGTAATTTCTTTTGTTTCCAGGTCTACCCTGACCCTAGGTGTTAGGGCCCTAAGAATGGGCAAATAGTGAACCCCCAAAACAGTACATTTTTATAATAAAATGAGGAACAATACATTTTTATAGAAAAATGACAATCAATGCAACACTAAAAAAATATAGAAATACATTTTATAGTAAAATTACCAATAATACCTTTTAGGATCTACAGATATGTTTAGGTTGGTTGATTTTATGACATGTTAATCGTTCAGAGTCTGTCTATATTTCTGAGATGAGGTATTATGTACATTATTTACATTATTTGGACTATTGTCCTCATCTTTGTCACCATGTCTATCACAGCGTGGCACGTGGAACTAGAACAGTCTACCCCAGTGAGTGAAATAAAGGGTTCGATTTGACATTCCAACCACCTGAAGAAGGCCGGAGTGTACAACGGCCGAAACGTTGTGATAGATATGGCGAAAAAGATGAGGACAATAGTCTGAATAATGTAAATAATGTTAATTGTTGTTGGGTTATTTAATATTTAATTTTGTCTGTGGCACCCAGTGAGGATCAAACTTACTAGTCAGTAGTAATGGCCAACCAGACTAGCCCAATTAACAATTATACGATGCTGATTGTTGGTTGATTTTATGACATATCAACTTGTGTTGGTTTATTTAATATTGAATTTTTGTATGAGACGCACAGCAAGGATTGAACTCACTACTCAGTATTAATAGTCAACCAGATTAGCCATGTCAAGGCACCCATTATTATGATTATGATTATTATTATATAAGAAGTTTTCCCAAGTAATAAACAGTTGCAACTTAAAATTTCTAATATTGCAGTTGTTTTTAGCATTTTTTTTTCTGAATTCTTTCAGTTTTAAAGTAATTAGAATTAATGAACCTGATGCTATGCCATATTTAGGCAAGGCAAGATGCTTTTTAGATAAAAGCTGTTTAAAAATGATTCTATCAATAAAAACCAGTTTGAAGCTTTCTTTTTGTGATACTGGGCAAATTGAAGATACAGTTTTTATCTCGTTCCCAAATGATTTTGCAGAGAAATTAAATTAATGAAATTTGTGAACATTCTTGAAACTATCATCTGACGGTATCGAGATTTGCACTGAACAGGAAATAACCAATAGAAGTAATTTGATTTAATTTGAAGCCACTTCACAAATGCGAACAATTGTAAGCTTTCATGGCATTGTCTCTTCAATAAAAGACGATCAGTTTCAGTCAGTCAGTCTTCTATGAATCTAAAATCAATTGGAACTAATCAGCTACTTTTCATAACATTTTTAAATATAACTTTTTGGCAAAAAAATTTAAAAGCTCAGAAAAAATGTGTTGGCAACAATGTATAGCTTCTCTTTGTTATCCACAGAAAAATATAACAATGCAAAGTAAGCTAATGAACATTAGGTGGATTGTGGAGATCCTTTTGATTCCGGGAAATAAATAGGAAAAGAGAGGAGAATGAAAAGGAGAAAAAGAAAGAAGGGAAGAACAATTGTAGAGAAATAAGAAAAGAACAAAGAAAAATGAAATAAAGGGGGGGAATAAAAGAAGAAAGAAAAAGAGAGAACCAATGCAGAGAAATAAGAAAAAAAATTCAAAGAAATAGAAGGAAAAAGAGGAAAATGAAGGAAGAAAAGAGAGAATGAAAGAACAAAGGCAGAAATATAAAAAAAAAAAAAAATAATGAAACTGAAAGGAAGAAAATGGATAGTGAAAAGGAAAAAGAGGAAAGAAATGCAAGTGAAGATAAGAGAAAAAAAAGGAAAGAAGGCAGAAAATGGCGAAAGTAGAAAAAGAAAGGAAAAATGAAAATCAAAGGGAGGAAAAAGAGAGATAAATAAAATAAAGCAGAAAAGGCAAAGAAACAAGAAAGGCAATATTGACAAAATACGATTACTGAGAGAAAAAAAGAGAAAATAAGAACAAAGAACTGAAGAAAAAGCTAAAGAAAGAAAAAACAAAAGAAAGAAAAAACAAAAAAATCCTCATTTGATCTTTTATGCATGTATTCATTTGACTTTGAAAGACAATCTCTCAAATAAAACAAGAAAGTCGAGGACTAGAAAAATGAGAGAAGAGGAAATAAGGTGGGGATAGAAATTTATTCTTTGTTTTTTTTTTTTTTTCTAATTAGTAATTAGACTCATAGGCGTAATATTGCAGGGGGGGGTGATGTAGGACTAACATAACAAAAAGAAAAAAAAAAAAAAAACCCAAAGAATTACAGGACCATAAAGAAATGAAAATAGGAAATATATATATATATATATATATATACAGACTCTCCCTACAAAAGGCACAAAGGCAATTGTTGTACAGTAATGGTTAATGAACTACTCTTGCAAACTATTGCTAGTGCATATAATAATATCAAAATAATTTTTACTTTATTACAAACCGTTATTCCAAAGGTCATTTCATATACACATCTAAAGACTCTGACTATGATATTATTAACACATTCCTAGCGGGTCTTTTGAACAGGAGGCTTATCTCTTGTTCCATGTTTAGGATTGTGTATCCAGTTACTTCTAAAGTCTTTTCATTCTCTTTTATTCCCAATATCCATTTACATCTCAGTGGCACTATCGCCTTGCTTGGAGGAAATTGATTAAAATTATATATATTATAGATTATACATTATGAAATGGACAAAGTCCGACAATTATTTTAAGACATTTTTATGTTTATACATTCTTTTTATAGATACAAATATTTAAGTAAATGCTCTGTTTATAATAAACAGTATTAAATAACATTTACCGGCCTGAATGTCCAAGAAATTTTCATAGAAAATATTCGTCTTTTGACAGGATTCGAACCTGCATCCTATACGGAACCATCATTTATGCGGACGTGCCTTGACCGCTCGGCCACAAAGGATCGCTCGGTTGATAAGGTTGAAATTCAGGCCGGTAAATTCAACCTTTACTTAAATACTTGAATACCTGAATGTCCGAGAATCCTGTCAAAGGACGAATATTTTGTATGAAAATTTCTCGGACATTCAGGCCGGTAAATTTTATTTAATACTGTTTATTATAAACAGAGCATTTACTTAAATACTTGTATCTATAAAAAAAGAACGTTAAACATAAAAAAAATGTCTTTAATAAATAAATTGTCGGACTTTATAATAAACAGTATTAAACAACATTTACCGGCCTGAATGTCCGAGAAATTTTCATAGAAAATATTCGTCCTCTGACACGATTTGAACTTGTATCCTATATGGAACCGTCATTTAGCTTGACGTGCCTTTACCGATTACACATTAAATTGTATACATACCTTATGTATGCACAAAGGACATGGGTCATTTATACATACCTTATGTATGCACAAAAGACATGGGTCATTTAATTTAGAAAAAACAGAAGTAGAAAAATAATTTGGTATACAGCCCCATACAACCAAATGGTAAAGAACAAATTAGGGCAAAAATTCCTTGCATTAATAGTTAAGCACTTTCCTAGAGAAAGTAAACTAAGTACTATTTTCAATAAAAATACAATAAAATTAAGTTAGAGCTTTACTGAAAACTTTAAAAAAAATTATTAAGAAACATAATGCTAATATCTTCAATAAACACTTAGACCAAAACCAAAGAAATTTAGACAATATAAAAATAAAAATAAAAAAAGATGAAGATAAACAAAAATTATGTAACTGTAGAAATCCGCATAACTGTCCTCTATAAAATAAATGTCGCACAGAATCATTGGTATACCAATGCAATATCTCATCTATTGAGAATTCCGAAAACATAAAAATCTATATAGGTTGCACAAGCCAGGAGTTCAGAAATCAGACATCGCTTTCAAAGTATTTCTGGCACTTAAAAGAATCCAATAAAACACCTACAGTAAAACGGAAATTAATAAGAAACTGTCTTCAGGTAAAAGCAGAGATTTCCACATATTATTTAAAATAATTAATTTTTTCCTTATGTTTTTCAATGTTAAATATTCTTGATATGAGACATTCTCTGTTTTTGTGTTAGTAATCCAAATGTCTTTCTTGAATGTCTTCTTCTTCAATTCAAGAAAGACATGCATTCGTGCAATGTGACTGACCCATCGGAGACAATTTTTCATTACCATCGACTGAATGCTTGGTAGCCCTGCTTTCTCTAATACATCTGTATCTGAGACATGGGACTGCCATGTGATATGAAGTATCTGTCTCAGACATCATTGATGGAGGCCCTCAAGAAGTTTTTGTTGATGTTTATAGAGTGTCCATGTTTCGCTTGCATACAGGAGCGCTGTCAAAACACATACTTTGTACACAATGATTTTTGCATGTAACTGGGATCACACACATATTTTAAGTGCTGAAAAAGACCAAGAAGCCCTTTCAATGCGGAAAGAGATTTCTCTGTTGAGGCTGCATCCTTCAGAGAGGGTACTGCCAAGATATACAAAAGAATGTACTGCGTCTAATTTATTTCCTTCAACGAAGATAGTTGGTTCCATATAGGATGATCCAGGTGCTGGATCATACATGACGACTGTCTTTTTTTTGGTTGATCCTTAAACCGAATGAGTTACATGCAGATACAAAATGGTTCATAAAGCATTGCAGCTCATCATCAGAATGTGCAACGATGTCACAGTCGTCCACGTAGAGCAGCTCTCTCACCAATGAGGAAGAGACTTTTGTTTGAGAAAGCAGTCTACAGACATTATATACACTGCCAGATGTCCGATATCTGATGTAAATACTGTTTGGGTTTTCATAGAAGGCCACAAGAAAGACTATGGCGAAGTAGATATTGAATAACATGGGTGAAGAAATTTCACCCTGTTTGACCCCATTGTTTATTGGTATTTCTTCAGATAGAGTGCCGTTAAAGCTAACTCTAGCCTTCATTCCATCATGAAGAGAACGAATCAGACCCACAAATTTCTCAGGGCAGCCCAGCTTTGATAAGATCTTCCAAAGAGTTGATCTGTTTACGGTGTCAAATGCTTTCGATAAGTCAATGAAACACTGGTACAACGGAAGATTTTGTTCTTTGCACTTCTCTTGCAATTGCCAAGCACTGAAAATCATATCCACAGTGTCGCGGCTTGCACGGAAACTATACTGTGATTCTGGTAGTATTGCATTGACAATTGTGTGGACTAATCTATTTAAAATAATCCTTGAAAAAAACTTTCCAACAGTAGACAGCAAAGATATACCCCTAAAATTGCCGCCGTCCGACCCGGAACCCTTCTTATACAGAGACACAAGTATTGCATCTCTCCAGTCCTGAGGTACTTCACTTCCCCATGCATTTTAGATGACTTGCTCCAGGAGATCGATCATTCTCTCACCGCCATTCTTTAGAATCTCTACTGTTATACCATCCATTCCTGGCGCTTTGTTGTTTTTCATTTGACTCACAGAAACTTCTATCTCACCTCTGGAAGGTACTTCATCAAGAGCCATAATTGGCT